CTCCTGTCTGCCTGATGATACGTTTCCGACAGTAAGATTTTCTGCGAGGTTGTAATTAGTCTTTAGATAGGGGTACAATAATTGCTAAGTACGTGTTATGAGCATTCTCCTGCTTCAGAATCGTTGCCCTACCGGTAAAAATGGGTGCGGTATCTACAAGAACATTATGTAGTTGGAGAAGCATAAGCTCACTTCTCTACTAAATATTATAAAGTCCACGTCCTAGTTCGTTCCTACTTTTTTATCCTTTTTAGCGAATACATCATTACACATCTCTCATTCATATTTCATGACCCCATCAGTCTTTTCAAACATGCAATACATTTTACGGTTGAGCTGTCAGCTATTCGATCGCATTATAAAGCATGACGGCAGGGAAGAGGAAATAGAGGATAAAGTGGAAAAAAACCGAGCTTGGAATCATAAATGAAAACAAATGAGGTTGTTGAAGAAAGCTTCGTGAGAATATGGGAAAGTACTCGACCAGTGTGCAGGAACCAGCAGAACTGAGTGCTGGGTAAGTATAGCGAGAGTGCTGAAACACGATCCAACGCGAGAATCAAGAAGACACAAAAAAAGATTAACCGCCGACCTGCTGCACTTGATTATATATATTCATCTCCCGGAAATCGAGATAAAACATGACCGGAATAGGAAGGATAAGGATACTTTTTTATCCTTTTTAGCGAATGCATCATTACACACCTCTCATTCATACTTCATGACCCCATCATTTTTTTCTAATGAAAACGGAAATTGCTATGAAATATGAAATATGGCATTCTTCCAATACGATATTTCAAAATATATTATTCTTGCTTTCCAAATATGGTATACAATACGAATGTGGTACTAGTGGTTACAAATGAAAATTTATGAAGAGTCACAGTTTGGAAATTCGTCAAATCAATTTCAGCAGATAACCTTACTGTTAGAATACAATCTCAGTTATCTAAAAAATGAATGAAGGGATGCGTAGCATTTGCTAAATTTATGCAGAAACTAAGAGATATAAACCAGTTTACAGTTCACGTTATTCAGTTTTTTGGTATACGTAGCAGCTGTTTGCTCTTCTCAGACAGTCAAAAACACTGATGAGGTTCATTTTTTAATAGTTAAGTCACCACGATTTATTTTTGTATGCAATAAATCTGGATGATAATTAAAAATGGGTAATCTTAAGTTAAACCAGAAATGCTGCAGTGATAGTCGACTCTGAGTAGGTTTCTTCAAAGGAAAGGAAATCTTACGTGGAAGAACTCAGCTTTATCATCATTTATCAGAAAAACATATTGTAAACTGTGGTACTTAAGGGCATTTTTATTAAATGTACGTGGATTGATCTTCTGATTAATTATTCAAACTGCCAAATTTCAGAGACAAACCTTTGCAACATGACAGTGGTCACACTCCAGTAAGAGGTTAGTCTTCAAGAAGTTTCTTCCAGAAAACTGAATCTTATGAATACCTTCTGTGATGGTTATAAATTCTAGTTTTTTTCCATACTGTTTCAGCGTCTGCTGGAAGATATAGAGAGGCAGTAATTTTCAAGGAAGTTTACTTTCAGGTTCAAGAGGGAGAAAAAAAATAAAAAGGTGGTTTTTAGCGACATTCAGATTCTTTTACAGTTATGCACGTATTACGAAGCCTTTTAGTACGACGTTTTTCAAAATTTTACTTAAATTAAGTTCCATATAAAAGTAAGAATCACGCAAATATAAATGATAATATAAAATGGAGGACATAGCGTGACAATTAGTTCTCCTAGAGCTTTGAAAGTAATTCGTGCATGAGATTTGAAACCTATGCTCACAATAGAATCAGTGAGAACAAATATTGAATTTATCTACAATACGTAATTGGCGAGTGAGTGATGCAGATGCTTATAGTTTACCTAAAGTGGATGATGAACTTCATTCAAAGACAATTTTCGAACCTGTTTCCGTGGAAGCACGTCCAGCGAAAGCGAAATCAAGGATTCGGAACAAATTAAGATGGAAAGAAGGCTACGAACCACATGAAAAATCCGAAGATGCAAAAAGTACTGATAATTCGGAACATGCTATACAGCTACACTTGCTCAGTGCTAAGGAACCGTCAGTGGACTCAGAGAGAATATCCGCTGTTAAAGGTAAGATCAACAGCGATAAAAGAGAAAAGACAGATAAGGGTAATAAAGAAAAGACTGCTGACGAGAGATCAGGAAGGATTGCCAATGAGAAACCTAATAAAACTATCGCTGAATGGCCCACCACTGCCAGTGTTGCATGGTTGGTGACTCGCAAGATTCTTGAAGAAGTGCTCATCTCGCTCATCGTCATTGTGATTGTCATTGCTTCTAAAATTCACCACTAACTAATTAATTAATCGACTGAGCGACTAATTTATTAACAATTTTGTTCATGATGCCAGTCACGTACGTGACATTGTATATTGTGAGCTGTATAAAAACCGAACTGACGTAATTAGTTGTTTTCTTTAGGCAGCAATAGTATCTTGCAAGAGTAAACCAGAGAAGGAGCATCGAGATATGATAACACTCAAAAATTGTTTTCATAAGAGTCAATGAGTTGTAATAATAGCGCCGATTTTATCAAGGAGCGTAAAAATATGAATTATCTTTAAATGAAATGTAACAATGAAAACGATAAGATACTAAACTAACTTTCTAACTTGCTAGGTCTGTAATTAAAAACATATGTACGGAAAGCAGAGAGCAAATGACTTATGTACGTACATATCACTTGTAAATATAGTAATTCAGTAGTGATGAGTGACGAATCATTAATAACGCAATGTAGAGCAAGATATGAGGAAAGAAGAGAAGATCTAGCAGCACAGAAATAAGATAATGCAGGTCAGGTCAGGACAGGACAGGACAAGTACAAACCGATGACAGGAGCAGAGAGAGAGAAGTGTAAGAGAAAGTGGGTTCATACATCAGAGCAGGCTGCCCCTTGCTTTGCATGTCTAACACTCCTCAGAGTCTGCGGAGAGATAAGTCGGACAAGTACTTGGCTTTCTTGCAAGCATCGCGATTTTTCAGTAAGCATCACTTGCTAGTTGCTTGTGATGGGCAGGCACACATGCAGGTAACATTGCTTGTTACGCTGCAATAATACCACACATTGTAAATACCACACATTTAATCAGTTGTTTATTCATGCATTTGCTCATTGCAAGGAACAAAATGAGCAAAAAACATAGTGACACACTGCTAGCTGCATCCAGAGTCAGCTGAAGTTGAGCCAGCAAGGAGATCCCTCCCAGCCAGCGGGTTACAACTTCTCCCTCCATTCAAGTGCACATGTAGTGCTGTGATCATTTTCCTGACTATTGAAACGAAACCCCGTCAGCAGTGTGTTTCCCTCGTTGCTTTTAAGAAGTACCATTCCTGAGTGCCATCGGATGGCAGATTAATGATTGCGATGCAGGATGCAGTGCATTAGGATGGAGTGCGATGAATTGGCATAGAGTAAGGTGGAGTAGCGTAGAGTGAGCTGAGGTAGCGTTCAGTGGATAATTTCGAGTGATATAACGTAGATTGAATGTATATATGTATGTACTGTGCAGTAGGTCGGAGGTTAATCTTCTTTTCTGTCTTGATTCTCGCGCTGGATCGTGTTTCCGCACTCTCGTTGTACTCGACCGGCAATCCGTTCTGCTGGTTCTGGTACATTGGTCGAGTGCTTTTCAGTGGCCTCAGCAGCCTCATTTGTTTTCAATTATGATTCCAGGCTCGGCATTTTTCCATTTTTTCTCCATTTCCGGCTTCCCTAATTTGTGATGCGATCGACTAGCTAGCTGACAGCTCAACCGCTCGGCAACTCGGCAGAGCGGAGCAATATATAATAATGATTATATATATATTTATTTATATTTGAAAGTAAGTAGATAGCGATTATTGAATGCATAGATAAATGGATGATTACAGTAGTAGAAGCCTTCATCTTCCTTGTCTGTGATCACAGCAATAGTTAGAATTGAGTAGAAGGATTTTACATTTGTATGCTACGGATTGACTTTGTTACCGTTGGAAAGTTTTAATCAACTTAACATGTACAGTTTATTACCGCTGCGATAATTAGTGATGGCATGTGTATAGTTACATTGACTGTTTGTGGTAGGTAGTTACAATTAAATTAGTCATTCGCTTCCTCCACTATTTTTATTACACTTATGTCTTCGGCTTATTTGGAAGTAGGTTTTCGGTATTTAACCTGTTGGTTCCTCGAAATTCCAACGCTTAGCTGCACTAAATTTTGCAATTACATCTTATTTAGCTTGTGAAATTATTTCACAACTATGTTTATTATTCATGTTTGTTGTATAAACCTTTAGTCTATTTACAGATCTCGCGAATCACTTATTTGACATTTCCACAAAGTTGAGCAACGTTTTTCTAGCATAATATGACTAATAATTATAAATAAATACATTGAGGTGTGGATTTTGTTATGCAGCTCTGTGTATTGGAAATTCTAAACTATAAAAACAAACGCACAGAAATTAGTGATTCCGTCAGTCATGACGTCTATGGATACATTAAATAATTTCTCCGTTTTAAAAATCAAGATAAATGAATAGCAAATTTGTGCCTGAGGTGTGGACGAGATTAGTTTTTCAATAAAAACGTGTTTATTGTATTATGATAAAAATAGAAAACACTATCAATATTAAGTATTAAAATTTCTCATTATCACCTAAGTGATGGTCTAGTCTAGAAATGGTGATTCTTTGTTAGAAACCATAATATCATCACTGATAAATAATTCATTCCTCTAATCGGTGTCTGCGCGGATCAACATGCTTGACATTGGTTTGTTTTGCGAAAAAGCGAAAAAGTCCATTTGCAGATACTGAAGTGAAAGTAAAATTGAATATGCCAATAAATCGTTTCGTGAAATATAAACGTTAGTAGTAACGACGGCAGAAACGAAAGGATTAGAATGTACTTCCTGATTTGGAGTTGTTCAATGCTCTTAGTTACGTTCTTTATCTGTCCTTTGGTTTCCGTTTCATTGAACAAACATCTAATTCAATTTTCTTCACTCTTCGGATTTATGGAGTAATATTTTGGATTTCTACCTTTCAAATAGCAATCAAGTATTTGTGTAAGGGCAGATTAGTACTAATTGGGAATTAAGAGTTGTATATCCAAATTTTCATGTCATGCTCATTTGTATTCATTCAAATGGGACGACTATTTTCTTGCAGCAAAGATATTCTTTATCGAATTTTATCGAACAATATTTGATTCGTTGTATTACATTCTATGGTACAAGGCATCGAAAAAGATAGTGAAAATATTACAGCATGATTTTCGGTGGATAATATGGATACAGAAGCCGTGATACATTTTTTTGGAGGTGCTTTGGGTGGTACTGCTGGAACTGCCATTACATGCCCACTTGAGGTTCCCTTCAATTCAGTTGTGTGCTTTTCTTTATTCTTAACTTCTTCAAGCTTCTTAATTGTGGTGGGAATGTGAAAATGGAATATGTGTTAAAAGTTTCCCAACTGGACTAGTTGCAGATTCTAGGTTGTTGTTTTTTCCAGTGTTGTAATTACTCGTTGATCATATCAGTATTGGAAAATCGGGACTGCAGCAGTACATCGCACGATTTTATTTGTCGAAGCAAGTGGGAATATTTCAACTACACTTGCTCTTTCCAGGTTGTAAAAACACGATTACAAAGCGCAGAATATGCACAAACTGGAGTCTCTTTTGCACAGTGTGAAGGACCATCTAAAGCTCGTATACGATTACCCTATTCACATGCTTTATTATGTCAGAGTCGACTGAAAGCATGTTAGCAGTTTTTCAATATTAGATAGAATGAAATTTTAGTCATTATTTTGAGGGAAAGTGCTTATAATTGCAGTAACTGCTATTAAGATGATGTTAATGACATTGTATGGTAGAATTAATGTAGTTTAATATGTGCAATATTATTCCTTCTAGTACATAGAAGGATGTATATTAATAGTAATTATTTACACTTTTTAGCGCTACTGTATTCCATTTAATTTTCAGATGCTGGTATCACTCCTAAATTACGAATAAGTAATGTACCTGTTACATGTTCAGTGCAACGGAATGTGCAACTTTTTGCTAAGCCCCAGTTGGCTATGCACCAAAACAGAAACCTGTACACATTTTTCAGGTATTTGGTTTTCACTACCATAAGTTTAGAATATTTGTGAAAAGTAAAGTGCATATATATAAGCTCTATTAAACTAAAGTTGCCAAGATGGATGCCTAAACTAAAGTTGCCAAGATGGATGCCGTTCACTTCAGACAAATAGTAGTGAATGAAGGATTCTCTGCACTTTTCAAAGGAATTGGACCCAACCTTATCGGGGTTGCACCGTCAAAGTGAGCCGTTAAGTCATTTTGAACTTTGCAAAAGCACTTATAGTTTTTAATTAAAATATTAAATCATAATTGCTTTCCCTTATTCATGCTTCCTATTATTCTTGACTATATTTAATGTAACGTCTTTCCATAGAATTCATGGTTTGAGAAGTTGTATTTTCTTCAATTTATGCTACTTTTACATTTAAATTGACATTTTCGTGCGGAAGACTATTCTTTTGATCATATTAAGAATATTCGTTTTAGAGCAGTATATTTCTGCACGTATTCAAGTTGTAAACGATTATTAAACAGTTTGGATATTTTTGTATCGAATAGTGCAATGGTACATATGTCATCTGCCGCTACTGGTGGTAAATTTAATCATTTTTAACTTCTCATCAAATTTGAATACTCAAAATATAGAGATTTATAAAAATTTCGATTTCTTAAAGGCTTCGTCGCAGCAACTGTCATTAATCCGGTTTGGTTGGTTAAAACACGTTTGCAGCTGCACAAGGGACCACTATCAGCTAAGGAATGTATTCGGCATGTTTGGAGGACTGATGGATTTAAAGGATTTTATAGGGTAATTCTCTTTTGGCTTATGAATGAAATATGTCAAGTTTAGAAATCATATGTTGATACGAGGGTAACAGTTTCTAAAAGAAGTGTCAATAATTGATAAGATCAATTATAAAAGTATCACATTTATCTTGTATGCAGTGGTTACTTGCTAAATTTCTACAGTATAATTAATTAATGCAGTTTTGAAGGGAGTAACAGCATCTTATGTTGGAATTTCTGAAACAGTCATTCAATTTGTTCTTTATGAAGAGTTGCGTATGCTATTACTGAAGTGGAAGTCAACATCACGAAACAACAATGCGAACTTGGCAACGGATTCATCAGATCCGGCAACAAGTGAGCCAGAATTCAAAGATTTTTCAAGAATTAAAAAAGAAATCAAGCACCAATCTGCCGTGCGAAAATCTTCAACTGAAATTGAGAAGCGTGAAATGATCGATTTCTTCCATTTTATGCTCGCTGGTGGTACAGCAAAGTTTTTTGCTTGTTCATTAGCATATCCTCACGGTATGTTCTTCATACACATTGCTCTTGTTATTTATTCGCGGGATGATTTGTTCTGCATCTTTTATGTTGTTAATTGTTCACTGATTGCTGCTTTGGTTTGCTATAATTATTTAAAAATTAATGGCTAATCATTCTTGTACTTCACTTTCAAATATTGTCTATTACTTTATTTATTTTTTCCCAAAGAGTGTAATTATTCAGCTTTGATTAGTAAATATTTCATATGAAACAGAATGGTCTGTTAAAATTTTTTTTGTTGTATGATGCTTATCATTTCTTTTGAAATATTAATAGTTTGTGATGAACGAACCCAGTATTAACATCATTTATGTTGTTAGCTTTTTTGATGTCAATATGAAAATATTTGACCAGGAATCTGGCATATTTTAGATGTGGCACGTTGTTGATCGTTTTCATTTATACATTGTCATATATTACACATTACAGAAGTCGTACGCACTCGTATGCGTGAAGAAAATTCTATGATCAGGGGATTTTTGCCAACTTTGAAGTTTATTTTACGAGGTGAAGGATTTTGGGCACTTTATAGAGGTCTGAGTGTACAGGTGTGCCTCTTCATTTGTGGTTCCTAACCTTGTCATCATGTAGTAATTTTAGCAAATTAGTGTAATTGTAACTTCAAGTGGTCATGGCTCTGGTAACATTGAGCTTTAAATGCATTTTTGTAGGGATAAAAAGCAAATATTCAACTTTATCATTTTTAGCTATTAAGAACAGTCCCAAACACAGCAATTACTATGGGGACTTACGAATTAACAGTGCATATATTGCATGGGTGAGGTGTTTTGATTTCGATTATTTTAGTAGTTTTTCAGTTCAATTGAGTCACTAAATTTGTTTCAAATTCATCCTTATGGAAAAGCATCTTCATATTTGCTGTATGAGGCATAGAAAAATATTGGTTTTTCAGTTTTTTACGCGAAAAAAGAAGTTGACGCTTTATCGCGCGGGTGAAAATTTATTGAAGTATGACTATCTTATTTTTCATCCATCTCGAGATCCATTTTATCATTGAAGCTCAAGGAATTTTCGAACTGTGACGTGAATGATGAATGTTGAAGTTTTGCATTCATGAATTAAAATATATGGAAGCAAGCAAGAAGAAAAGATATGAATTGTTTTGTCAAAGATTTGTAAAGATTTTAGTATTTTTTCAAATATTTTGTGCTGAAATTGAAAATTGAGACATAGTACTCGATAACATTATATGCTGATATTTTTCTCTTACTGTTTATTCAAATACATTGAACAGGAATTTTTTTAACAGCATAGTAAATGTTCAAGACTTTTAATGCATATTGTTTTCCAGAAGTAAGTGAGCTGAATCAGAATTTTTGGATCAACAATAGTAATTGCATCCATTGAATGCATGAAACACAAGCTATAATGCAATTCGTCTGGTGGTCGTGGCCATATCATGTGATCTTTCACCACATTTTATTTATATATAAATTGCTCAAAAAACTGTATGTTTATTTCTAACCAACGTGAGCGTTCATGGATACTTCATTTACATAATCTTTCAGGCTTTATAATATTACAAGATGTATTCTTTTTTAGCAGTAAGTCTGACATGCGTTCTGTGAAAAGAGTGGTGGTATTTGCTTGGCTTATATTTTTGTTTTACATTATGCCTTTGCATATGTAACGCATCTATTTTGTAGCTGAGTCAAATGTTATTTTGAACACTAGACTACAAAATATTTAGTGCTCTGTAATATGACAGTAAGACAATATAAGTTGGCGTACGATTCATTGTATGACGAAATTGTGATGTCGTAGGAATTTCATGATTAGCACATATTTTTTATTGGGAGAAAACCGAGAACAGCAATGTTTATTGTAAGTGTGTCATTTTGATATGATGGTGAACAAAAGACTATGTTAGCATCTGAACTATTGATTTTTCGTATACGTGAAAGCATTTGGCTTAAGAGTTTAAGAGAAGTTTACGTGTGGTAATTTAGCTGAATTTATCGTTGGTCATGATGAAAGATACTAACACGCGGAATTACTCTAGTAGAATGGTAATAGACAACAATATTGTTTAGCATATCCTTCATATATTTTGACCTTGAGTACAAGACTTCATTTGCTGGGATATACTTGTCACTACTTTTTGTGCTCAATTTTTGGTGGTGAATGTGACAGATACACAACTAACCGCCATTGTAGTTCCCGTTTGTTGTCCATGTGCATTGCTATTACTTTTTATTTCGTTTTTTTTTTTGAAGAGTATAATAAAAACTGTTGTCAAGAGATGGAAGGTTTTTATTTTGGCTTTACATCTGACGGCATAGTTTTGCGGTGGAGAAATATGAATTTCTCTTGATTGCGTGGTAAGGACATAATTATTTCTTAGTCATATAGCGTTGATGAAGTGTAAGGCTGCCCACTCTTTCGAAATACAAAATTGAATTCGCGATAACATTTTTAAAGTTTAACGGGGATGAAACTCACGTCAGCCAAGAGAAGATGGGACATTGAAGTTCTGTCTGCTATCGTAAACAGTGCTGAACTGTAAATTTATTGTTATAGAAGTTTAACACTCTTCTTAACTGGTAGTGACTCCATGTGTATTATCGTTTCACTTACAAAAGCTGTAGTACTTGATGTTAACTATTTTATTTTATTTTATTAAAAATAAACACATCCGACGTTGCCATAAAAGAAATCTTAGATGTGCTGAAATTCTTTCGAAGAATTTTTTTAGAAAACATTTTTGTAAATTGTTGCATAAGAACTTTGTCATGTTAAAAGAACGGAGAAGCGTTCTTTTAACAAAGTAACTAGAGATCTTGCAGCTTCAGGAGTAATGCACAATTAATAATTGTGGTAACACTCTTAATTATAATGTCAAGGATGCTGATTACTGATTACTTATCACTTCTATCCTTGGCCTATTGCCGAAAGGAAAGAAAAGGCAGTAAATATGAAACATCAAAAACACATAACTAGCGATCAGAAAGGAGTGTCTGGTTTACATTATTCTATATTAATATTAAGAGAAAGTAAAAATGTACATGGATAATATTTAGTGACGAAGATAATACAAAGGTAGAAGCAGTGATGTAGAAAGGATGTCAGTGATCCGAGATGAAGCTGAAAAGAAAAGGAAGAAGTGCTGTAATTTAAAGAAACAAGCGAGGTACCATTGACAATTGGAATAATGATACTCGCAATTAAGGATGAGTGAGTGAGCGTTCTGTGTCAACTCAACTGACATTCTGAATAATTGTCTGAACGCAGAACTCGCAAATGCATTCTTTACCGTCCCTTTCTCACAGTCAATAGGGACTCTGCATGTGAATAATCTAGCTCCATAATTTATGACTGCATCCTTCATTCACTCACTCATTCCCTTTATATCTTGACTGTCAATCAATACAGCTTTCTTCCATTTTGACGTTTCCAATTTTTTCAGCAATAGTCTTTCCTTTTTCTTTGCTCATCCCATAAGTATCTCTTTCTTCACATTTTTCCTAGGTTTCACTGTTGCTCCTTCACAAGTGCTACAATAATGGAATTGCATGGACATAATCATTGTAGTCAGTTACATCTATCTGTTTCTTGGCAGTGCCTGTGGGACAAAAAGTTCTTCAGAAATGCAGTCCAAGGCATTAGATAGCTGATCTGAGTGTTTGCTAGAATTTCCCGTCCTCTTACTACCATTTTCGTTGTTGTGATGTTTTCGGCTTCAGATACTATTGCTGTTGTAACTGATCGTAGTGACACAAGTAGTACAGCAATGCTATAAAAAATGACGACGCAAAAGAAGCAGCTATTGGAATGAAAGGAAAGCATAGAAACGAAAATAAGCTCGAATAACTCCCGTACAAAGCTCATAAAGCGGTATTTGGCCGATTGAACGCTTGAAGGTAAAAATTTGAGAGAGGCTAAGAAGTGTATGAGGGGAATAGATCTTGAACTAGCTCTTAAACGTAAAAGTC